CCCCCCCCCCTCTGAGTCCCGTCCCACCCTACGGCTTGGCTTTTCTTTCCTTCTCCCTCCCAGTGGACCTCGTGGGCAGCTGCAACATCGGGACCATCAGCCACGACAGCAGAATTGACTGGCTTGAGCTGAACGAGACGGGCCACAAGCTGCTCTTCCGAGACAAGAAGATGAAGGTGAGGCGAAGGCCGGCCGAAAGGAGGCTGTGGAGGGTGTGGGTGTGTGGGCATGGGCTCAGCCATCGTCTCCCTTCAACACCCTCCTCAGCTGCATTTCTACGACATGGAGAGCGCCACGAAGACCGCCATCTTGAGCTACTGCTCCTACGTGCAGTGGGTCCCAGGGAGTGACGTGGTGGTGGCCCAGAACCGCAGCAGCCTTTGCGTGTGGTACAACATCGACACCCCCGAGCGAGTGACCATGTTTCCCATGAAGGTAGCTGGCCCTCGCCCCTGATGGCCTGAGCTTTTGGGCTCGGGCTGGGAAGATGGGAGGGAGGGCAGGTCCGGGAAAATGAGGGACGGAGCTTAACCTTAGGGTCGTGGCTCCTGGTAGGGAGACATTGTGGACCTGCAGAGGGACCATGGGAAGACGGAGGTGATGGTGACCGAGGGCGTCAACACCGTCTCGTACACGCTGGACGAAGGGCTCATTGAGTTTGGAACCGCCATCGATGATGGGGACTATCAGCGGTGAGGGCTGGAAAGGGGTTTGCGGGTGAGGGGGCAGGAAGCTGCCTCTGAATACTGCCCCCACCTGCAGACAGCGTAGGTGGGACTGCCCTCCCCCCCCAGGCCACTGCTGCAAAGGGGGGGCTCCGGTCTTGCCAGGAGAGGTGGCAGAGATCTCTTCGGCCAGCTGCCTTCCTGGGGGGAGGGGCTCCCTTGGCCTGTCCTGCAGGAGGGGAGCCGTCCGTCACCAATCCTGCCCCTCCTGCTCCCAGGGCTGTGGCCTTCCTGGAGACCCTGGAAATGTCTGCCGAGACAGAGGCCATGTGGAAGACGCTGAGCCGGCTGGCACTGGAGGCCAAGCAGCTGCACATCGCAGAGAGGTGGGAGGCTGATTGGAGGTGGGGTTTGGGGTGGAAGGGCCCCCCGCTGGCTCAAGAGATGGCCTGGCAGCCCCGCCCCACCAGAGCCTTCTCTGCAAGAGCAGTGCCAGGACAGATAACCGGGTGGGAAGGTGGGTCCTTCATTTGGCCACTATGCTTTGGGCTGCTGGCCAGGAGACTAGTCCTTTCTCACCTCCAAGACTTGCTTCTTCATGTCTGGACTTCTGCATGCGAGGCCACCAAAGGCAAACCGTCCCTGTGTTCAAAGGCGGGGGGGGGGAGGCCCTTTGCACCCAGTTCAGACCCCACAGAGCCTTGCAGAGGTGCAGCCCTAACAGCTGGCTCTTCCCTCCCACCCACCCCCCACAGGTGTTTCGCTGCTCTGGGGCACGTGTCCAAGGCCCGATTCCTCCATGAGACCAATGAGATTGCAGATCAAGTGGCAAAGGAAACGGTGAGTGGAGAGCCAGGAGACCCCCATGCAGCTGTCCCCGTGTCTGTCCTGGTGCACAGAGGCTCTGGCGTCCTCTCCTGTTTTCCTTCCCTGCCACAGAACACACACACCCCCCGTTGCTCCCCCATCCTGCAGGGGCTCCTTTTTCCTTGGTCAGAGAGGCATCAGGCGCCTCCTGGTCTCCCAGGGCCTTGAGACGTGCTTCCTTTCAGGGCGGGGATGGCACCGACTACTACCAGGTCCGCATCCGCCTGGCCATGCTTGAGAAGAACTACAAGCTGGCAGAGATGATCTTCTTGGAGCAGGTAAGGCCAAGGGGCAGCAGGGAGGGCTCCGCCACACCCCTCCCCCCTCCCGCCTGCCAGCCCGCCCTCCTGTTTATTCCTCCCTGCTCTTTTGCCAGAATGCAGTGGAGGAGGCCATGGAAATGTATCAGGAACTCCACATGTGGGAAGAGTGCATTGCGGTGGCCGAAGCCAAAGTGAGGAGAAGGGTTGCAAGGGGGGAGAGAGGGAGGGAGGCCCTGAGTCCTGGTCATGTCTGTTCCCCCATCACTCCTGAGGCTGCTG